ATTCGAATAGTTTTAAATGGAAGAATTTTAAAATGTTGATAATAAAATTGTAGGTTTTCTATGAAAAAGTTATGTTTTTCTATAATTGCTTCTAAAAATGAATCAATACAATAGTAAATAATGATTCGATATACTACTCTTTATGACCTATCATTTAATGAACGAAAGAATTCAAATAAATACATCTAGAAAGAACTGCAAAGTAAGCTCTACAAGTCTTTTTTGTTGCAAAAACTGTATTTGTTTTAAATCAAGATGTCATATTAACATTTGGTTCTTGAAATATTTTAAACAACATGTAGGTAGGATCTTGAATTGTATAATAATGAGGATCGATTCAGGCAAAAGAAAAAATGACGATCATATAAAACTATTGAAAAATATTTAGAAATATTGTTGAAAAATAATATTATTATCTATCGATGCTTGTTAAATAAACTGATAGTTTTCTCTAATAGATCAACGAAGAAATAGTCCAAGTTTTTTTTAAATTATTTGAGATCGTTCAATACATTCTGTTTTTTTTCAGACATTAACATATACTCTTTCTTGCACTTCTTTCTTCTTAGTCTCTTTCACATACTATAATGACTAGCATCTCAAAGTCCATGTGTATACTTGTATTAATCATTAAAATTGATCTAAACTTTTTTTTTTCTTGAATAAAATAAATATTTTGAAATTAATGAATCAGTTTTTTTTTTTTAAGATATAAAATTTATTCTTTCAAAAATCTTATTTGATATTTACAAAGTATAAACATATGAAAAGAGATTCGACAGCCTTTTTTAAAAATTTTTTCGATTATAATCTATAAATTATTGACATTCTTAGAATACACATCAAACGTAGTGGGGGCTGACGTTTTAAATACTTTCGAAAAAGTTTGAGAAAACTTGTTAGAAGGTATGCATTGATAATAAAAATAATACTCTACATTTTTGCGATATTGAATTATTCTTTAAGTGATATCATAGTAGTAAAATTTTGATAAGAACTGTCTGTTACCAAATGTAACAATAACACTGATAAAAAAAGACGAATGGGTACTTTTTGAAAAAGTTTTGATAAAAACAAGATAGACAACTGCGGTTTTTCACCTGTAGAAAGAGAAAGTAAAGACCTAATGAATCGTATATTATAAGCTTTTATAATTAGAGTTCTAAAAAAAATTGATTTCTTTTCGTAGAAATTGTTAGAAAAATTGACTTAGAATTTCAAGTAGAATACCTATAACACTTAAATGATTAAATTTTAACATTTGAGCCTTGCGCAGTTTTGTAGATCTTCAATTGGCAATTTTAATGCACATCTAAAAGATGCAAATTCACTGTAAACATCACGTGAGATAAGTTTGTTTTTCAAAGTGATCGATTGAAAGCCTTAAAGAAACTACATCAAAAAACCTATTATATATGATTGGTTTGGATCTTCTCCTTCGCCTTCTAAATGTGAAAACCGAAGTGTCTAACTTGTTTCTATCAAAAGTTACTCAATAGATACCAGTGCGCCTTTTATTTCCTTTACAATGGACAGTACTGTTGTCGTCACAGAATTTCATGTTTTTTGGAACGCTCTAGGCTGTTGTGGACACCATCGTCATATACCATAGCAAACAGTTTTTACTAAATTTTACTATTACGATATTATATCAAGAATAATGCAATATCGCAAAAATGTAGAGCATTGTGTTTACTATCAGTGCATACAGAGAAAAAGTTCCCTTAAACTTTCTACAAGGTATAAAAGTACCACCGCCATTAGTACATTTCTATAATGGAATAATACAGAGAAAAAGAGATTTTGAATTGTTAAAAACAATAATCAAATAGTTTGTGCATATATTCCAGTATACCGCATTGAGTTTAATCAATACACTACCACAGTCGTGATATGTTTTAATCAATAGTGTATTATTATCGTCATAAAAAATAACAGACTATTTGGTCAATATGTAAATCGAAAATATGCATAATAGTCAAACATGTATGATCAATCATAAAATATCTTAAAATCTACACAGATGTAAGTTTTTTAAAACTCATTTCAATTGAATTCTCTGTTCTCCATCACCGTTTGTATTTTAAAATTTTTATCATTTCTTTTATATTAAAAAGAAATAATCGTTTTCATATACTTGAATCATTTTACGGATTATCACATTTCAATATCCTCGACCGAGTACCTATTAAGGCAAATTCAAACCTATACGAAAAGAAAAGTTAAAAATCGATATCATATTCATCATAGGAGTATCAGAATTTCAAATCAGTCTCATAGAAATCAATTACATCTCAATATTTAAATCAGAACCTCAAAAAATAATATAATCAAATGAGTCCTATCACGAGTGTGCCAAAAATTTTTCATTAGATTTTTTTTTTCAAAAAGATATATCACCTTTACGTTACGTACAACGGTTTATTCAGCGTCACGGCTGAGGAGACGGCGCCTCTCCAAGGATCGGATTGACTCTGCTGGAACTTTTGGTTATTGTAGCACGTAGTATGCGCTTATACTTTCAAAAATAGATGTTTACCTTCCTGGGGTTTTGAATCATTCCTCGGAAAGAAAAAGTCTACATAAAACACTGGTCACGAACTCATGGCTTTGATTCTTAAAAGAATATTTTTGCAATATAAAAAAAAAATATATGAAGCATCGACTGACTTTACAGATATGAAAATTCATGATAAGAAATCTGGTTACAGAAATTGATAAACCTTTCTCAACGTGATACAAAAATCATCTCACCAATCTCAACTTGTAAATTATTGAGATTACAGCGCCTATTCAATTTTTAAACTATAGTAAAAATGAGTTCTGAATTTTTGGATAAGCACCAAAAAGTTCAAACAATTCTCTATAAAAACATATCACAGTTAAACTGTAATAATTGTTTATGATGATAAAAATTATGACTCTACAATTGACATATTCCAACATCTCAAAATATTTTATTATTTTTTTAAAGATATTATCGATAGAGTTTTAAACGGACAATCTATTGATATATTGTAATTTACAATTGGTCTTTAATTAGAGAAAAAAACAAATGAAAATACACTTTTTAGACAATTACATAGTAGTTTCTAAGGTCACTAAGTAATGTTTTAAGTGTTTAAATACTTTATTATGTATAAGTGAAATATTTTGTAGACCAAGTTTGAAGAAGAAGTTATGCATAGTCTTACAAAGAGAAAAATAACGATTGACTTTTAACGTGTCCTACTTTAAAATACAAAAGAAGTAAAATAAATGGAAAATTTATGCTACATTCGTTATAAAGAAATGCTCAGCAAATTAAGATTTCCTACAAGGATAATTTCATCTATGCTTTTCAATTATACACATAATTTAATTATTCAAAGACAACTATTAAATCTGACAGAATCCTTTTCAGTTGATGTGTTGACAAAATATTATGTTATTTTTAGATTGTTTTTTTTGTTCGATGATTAATGTCGAGAAAAGACTTGAAGAACAAAAACAAAATTATATTTTCATAGTAAATAAAAAGTGTGAGTGATATGTCAGATTTCATTGTAGTGAAATGAAATGTGTTAAAACTATTATTCATTAACTTGAGCGGATGTTTTTAGAGTAATTTTATTGATCTTTAGTTTTGCTTTAATCTTCTGATTATTTACTACATTGATCAATGTTAACACATTTTATACTCATACCTATTTCTTTTTTAAAGCTAATAATACTAAATAAATAAATCTTGTAAAAATCGATGTTGATCATTTATTTAAATTTCTTACTAAGCAGATTTTTATTTATTAAGAATATAAATCATCAACATCATCATAACCACAGAAAAACGATAAGATACAGAAAAAGACACTTGATGAATTTCTATTCCACTCATTAGACTTCATAGACATGGTCACAGATATAAAAAAAAACAGTATGAAATTCGTAAATGATTTTGTAAAAGAATATATAATTATGAAGTTGCTCTACAAAAAAAAAACGATGATAGTACCTGATAAACATATGGAGTAAGTTATCATGATCTGTACTCCATAACACTTGAAGAACGGTATGTATAGTATCTTTAAAATATGATTCTTTGGCTATAATTGAGATGTAACCAAGATGGCTAGAAGAGCTGAGCCCTTCCCTCTCTACCTATTGAAGTCATGCCAGCTAAAACCTGCTACTTCACCATACAGACCTTGGTCATCGAAGAGCTTTGTCATATCAGACTCCTCATTGTTTAAACCTAGCTTACCCTAATATTATTATAGTGTAGAAAACACCTGATTGAATTAAATATAGAATAGATTTTTATTGTATTGTCTATTAAAAATTTCCAAAAGAATGATTTTACTTATTATTTTCTATTGAAAAAAAAGTCTTTTTTGCTACGGACATTTCTTATCTTAATGAAGAATCATACGTATGCACAACGACCTAAATATACATTTTTATTGTATATCAAAAATATTTTATTGATTTTTTTTTTTTATCTTTGTTTATTTTTTGTATTATATTAGTTTTTTTGAACAAATTATATTATTGATTATACCATCATTTACTTTCATAGCTTCTATATTGTTGTTTGTTTACGTCTAATAATATTTAATGAGCGGTAACTTTTGCCTAAGTTTTTTCCTTCTTTGACACGATAAATTCTGAACAAGGTTTTTACGACCTTACACTAATAATAACATTCTATCTCTCAAAACACAAAAAAAATATGATGAGCATACAACAGTATATATTTATCGTTGTTTCAAGATGCAGAACAGACAAAAATGTGTATACTATATATTCAAATAGTGCAACCATCATCATAATTGACAAAACCTGACTTACCTGTTCGTAACTAGTTAACCTTGATATGAAATATGTTTGATTTTTAATAATTTTTTTACTACTTATTTGGTCCTATTATTTTATTGATTCAATCATTCTTTTGAATTTGGTACTATTGTCCGAAAACAAATAAACAAATCAATAATATTAAATATTTGACGTGATCAAACTATATGTCCTCATTACAATCATCACCATCAATACCTTCAATAATAGCTACAGATTATACAGATGATTTATTTAAAAAATTTAAACTCAAAAATTATCATACAATAAAATCAATGAATGAAGATGATGATCAAATGAATATGGATAGTTCTGATGGATCAACAACTCAATCTTTAATAACTGAAAATGATGTTGAAACAGATTTTGAAAAATATTATATGAAACAAAATTCACAATTAATTGATACGGAACTTCATTCAAATTTAATAACACCAGATATTGATGATCTTCAACGTAAAGAAAAAGAACTTTTACAAACACTTAATAAAGTTGATCAAAAGGTAGATAAAAATATAAATAATTTAGAATATCATTTTCTTTTTTTTCATTTGTTTATTATTGTCTTATGTTAGATTGAACAACATCTATCATTAATCGAAAATAATGTACAACCAATGAAACATAAAAGAAAACCATTTATACAATGTGAAGTTTGTCATGATAAAGCAACCGGAATACATTATGGTTTAATGACATGTGAAGGATGTAAAGGTATTTATATATTTAGGTTTTTCAAAATCATTAATTTTGTTAATTTTTTAGGATTTTTTAAACGAACAGTTCAAAATAAAAAAATATATCGTTGTATTGGAAATGGTTCATGTATAATTGATAAATTTGAACGTAAACGTTGTCAATATTGTCGTTTTACAAAATGTTTAGAAAAAGGTATGGTTACTGGAGCTGTTCGTTATGATCGAGCACCTGGTGGACGAACCCCAGTTAATATTGCTCTATTATATAAAGTAAATATCTCTTTGAAAAATAAAAAGAAAATTACATTTTTTTTATTTTTATTTAGTATCATAAAGAAAAACGTCATGATCAAAATCGAGAAGAATTTAATAATTCACTTGAACATACAATTATTTCTGATGCTGAACTTAAAGCAAATATAGAAAATCAATTAAATCAATCATTAGCTATGGATTCAAAAATAAAAGTTACATATCAGTTTGATCAATTATCTATTTTGGATACATTATTTGATCATTTAAAACCATTAACTCGTAGTCCAATACCATTAACAGATGAATTAATAAAAAAAACTTCACGTTTATTAATTGATTCATTTATATCATGGTATCGTTCATTATCATTTTATTGTTTATTAAAAAATGATTTAAATCAATTTATATTAAAAAATCGTTGGTCAAAATATATTTTTTTAGTAATATGTCAATTTTTATCAATACAATATGATCATACAAATCTAATATCATATGATAAATGTTTACAACGTTTAATTGAATATCAACAAAATCAATTAATTTCATCAATATCATATGAAATTATAAATCAATTTTTAACTTTTTTATTACAATTAATTAATTTACATTTAACAAATACAGAATTTACATTATTAAGTATATTAATTGTTATTCAATATGGTAAATACTAAAAATTTGTTTTATTTTTATTTCATTACAAAAAAAAAGAAAAATAATCATGTTTATTTTTATTTATAGATAAAACAAATAAAACAATCGATCAAAATGATTTAATATCACTTGAACAAGTTTATTTGAAAAATTTACATAAATACGAAAATGAAATACGATCATGTAAAGCAACATATCGTTTTAATCAATTATTACATACACGTGAACAAATAAATCATCTAACAGAATTACTTTTTAAAGAAAGTCATTTTTATTTGCCATATTTATTGATTCCTTATTAATCAATCTTCTTTTTTTATTCTTAATTATTGTTTCTTTCCTATATAGTTTATAAATATGCATATAAAATGAAGAATATAGAGTTCGATGAGTATATATATATATATATATATATGTTTTATTTAGCAGCATTTTTAAAATATAATAATAGCCGTGAACCTCGAAGTAAATCGAGTAATTCATTTAGAAAATTTATTATTGTTGTATCACGTTCTTGACGATGTGATGCAAATACAAGAGCAAGTGTTATACGTGGATCAATATTTTGAAGAAAATACGTTTTTGTTTGATTCTAAAACACACAAAAAAACAAATATGAATCATTTTCTAAGTTAAAAATAATTGTTTGTCATAGATCATTTTTTGTTTTGTTTGTTTCTCTTTGACATTGAGTAGGGTTTTATTAGAGCTGTTATTTTTCATAGTAAGAAAAAAATGTTGAATATGCGCATTTTTATCAAGGTAAATATATCGTACGTAAGAATGACCTGCCATTGACAATTAAACTCTATTAAACACTTAGCTAACATGACCCCAATGGAAAATAATCTTTTTATTTTATGAGCGAAAGAATTGTTGCTTTTACAATGATGTTCATTTGTGACATTTATATAATAATCTACTTCAAAGATTTTCAATACATAAAAAAAAGAAAGGTCATGAAAATAAAAATTAGATTAAAAAAAGAAAAGGACTAATTTTAGTCATATGATCAATTCATCAAAAGAAAACCTACTATTAATTATATTTATGACATTTATTTTATCATGAGAAGAATGTTTAGATCTTAATCTCCTTAGACAAAATTATATTTAGAAGAAGTATTCTTCATCAATTAACTATTTTTATATAAGCTTTTAGCTAAATTTTGACACTTATAGTAAATTGAATACATAGTTTTTTTTTGTCTCAATCGAAGACAACGATTACACCTACATATAATAAATGCTTTCCTTTTTTTTTTATCTGACTTTAAAGTAGCAATAAATTACATACGGTATCTCCGCTATAGAATGGTTTTTCTCCACTTGTCAGCATTTCATTATTTATTGACGCTTTTGTAATGATTTGTTGTGCAATTTCATCTGTCTATAAAAAAAAAAAAGAAGACGATATTTGTTTTTTTCTTTTGAATAAATTATTTTTGAACATATCACGAACTGAATTTGGTTTATTTGGATAACCGAATATAATTTGATAGGGTTTATCATCATTAAAAGATGTTACTGGTTGAATTAAATGATAATCAGCTATAAATAAAAGTCAAGTATATTATACAATTTTGATAAAGAACTTCTTTTGTTTTTTCAAATTACCTAATTGATCTATTTGACTTGAATATATTTGTTGTTTAGTTGTATGTAAAATAAGTGTAATCCATTCAACATTTGAACGTCGATAGAATTGTGCAATACGTGCAGTAAATTCTGGATTTGTTTTTCCCATTGGTGTTTTAGCATCTAGTCCACCATATTCATATAAAATATCGGTGAAATAAAATGTAAACTTAAAAAACAAAAAAAATATTTTTTCTTATTAGAAAAAAAAAAACATTAAATAATACTTTTGCAACAAGTAATTCATGAAATTTTGAATAAAATGTATATAATGCTGGTTTTGTTGATGATTTAAAAAAATTTAATGGACTTGTTGTTGATAATATAAAACGATGATTTGTACTTTGTTGATTTTCAATATTATCATTCCATTCTTTTAATACACAATGCATATGATGTAATGTTGATATACTATTCATATATTGATAATCAGAAATAAATACATATGATTGTATTAATAATAATAAACAATCAATTTCATGTCTAAAAAAAAAATCTCTGGTTTTTTTTTTTTGTGTTTAAATTTTGATTTACTTTAGTAATCGAAGTATTGGATTGAGTGCAGATATATTTAATGAAGACATATCAATTTGAGAAATATGTGTAATTTCATCAATATAATTTTCTAGACGAACATTATGTTCATTACGTTTAACAGCAGTAGAAATTTGTTCATATCTATAGTTTTTTAAATATAAAATAGAAGATAATAATAATATTAATAAATATCATACTGTACAATTTCATTAGATTTGTTCGAACACTAAGAAATGTAATAAGACCAATAGTTAATTGTTGAATATAATCTATTTCTTTTGTATCATCTGTTATTGATTGTGTTGTATTATTTTGTTTATTATTTGACTAAAACATAATAATATAAACTTACAAGAGAAAAAAATCTTTGAAAAATTTCACCTGTCCTTCAATTAATGACATATGAAGATCAGAATAACATTGAAGTAAAGATTTCTAGTTTTGGTTTTTTTTTTCAAAATGATAAAATTAAAAATCAATTTCTAATAAATTTCTATATAACATACATCTTTTCTAATACTACTCAAATTTCCTTTTGGACCAACAACAAAACCAAAATTATGATAACTTCGTTCATATTGTATTAACATATAAAAATATTGAAGAAAATCATTATTCATTTTATTACCATCTTTTTCCTGCATAAATAATAAATAAATTTCAATTTAAATATTAAAAAAAAAAGAAACTGTGTTTTTTTTCACATACTAAAAGTTCTTTCGCTTTATCAAATGATAACGTAGCTAAATAATTAAAATAACGTTCGTGTAAATTATCCCATCTAGTCATTATTAAACTAAAAAATATCAAAATAAAGTACCTTCTTATCATCAATCGATCTTTTATTTTTATTTTAGAAAAACGAAAAAAAAAAAAAACATTTATCATAATTTTTTTGATCCATATAAATGACGAATAGAGTCATTATAACCTTCACGATTACGTGCAATTTCAATTGCATAAAATTGAATTCGTACGACTAAAATAAATTTTATAGAAAGAAAAAAATTCTTTTTTTTTTTTTTAATTAAAATAATAAATATTTACCTAGAAATGTATTTTCACTTGAATATTCACCTTTGGAATCTGTACGTATAAGTGTACCATAATTATAATCTTCAACTAAATCTCGAAATTCTTCACAAAATGGTCTCCATAGCTAAGAAAAACAAAAAGATTTTATTTTCTTCGTTTTTAAGAAATTACTTGTTTTGCTTCATTTGATTTGATTTCATTTTCATCAAGTGTATCGATTTTAAAATCAGGAAATAATTGACGAAAATGAGAATATATTTTATCATCATGACGAGATAAACGTAATTGTTTCGGATCAACAGCACAAAGTAACTAAATAAGAAGTCAAAAAAACAAAAAGAAAGAAATTTTCAAAAGAAAAATATTTTCTTCATTTTGTTTACATTAAAATATGTTTCGGCATGTTGGAATGCTTTCATTGCCCATTGTTGTTCAAGTGTTGGCTATAGTAAAATATAAAGAATAATTATTTAATAAAAACAAATTTTTCATATTATTTTACATCATTGATATAATCTTCAGCTGAGCCTGATGGAAGAGAAACATTTGATCCTTGTTTATTATCCAAATCCTAAACAGCTAAAAAAAGTACAGATATTATTCTCATTTAAAAATAATATTTTAAATATTTTTCTTTTTGTTATTATGAGAATCTCCTTCATTTAGTATTCGATAGTTTCCATAGCTACTTGAATAAAAGTAAGATTATATTAATTATTATACCAAATCATGTAAATTTGATGAATTTTCCATTGAAGTAAATATCTACAGTAATGGAACAAAACCTTACATATCGCTTTACATTTTCGAAATAAAATACATTTAAACAAAAAACATAATTTAAACCAATATAGATGATATTTATTAAGTTCAGTTATTTTTGTTTGTAAATAACATAAATAAGCTTGATTTAACAAGAACGAAAAAAAAAAAAGAAAAAACAATAGCGAAATACATACGCACAACACAAAATGAATACACAACAAAAATCCTAAATAAATATCTACTCCTTTCTTATTTGTTTTTTTCCTTTCAAGACGGATAACATAAAGTGTTTAAAATACGTAACACATTGACAAAAGAGAGAAAAAAAAAGAAGTATTTTTAATTATTTTTTCATTTATTTATTTAATCTACCATTCTTTCTTTCTTGCATCTACTGATACACCACCTGGACCAAGTGCAACAACATATAGAAGGCCACCAATAACCGACATTGTTTGAAAAAAATCATATTTCAAAAAATCATGCAATGCTCGATGATGTGAAACAAGCCAAAAACAATTCATATAAAAATTCACAAATGTTAAATATAGAACAAGAAATAATGCTGATAATTTTGTTTTAAAACCAATAGCAACAAATAACATACATATACCACCAATTAAATTTTGTATTATTGATGTAAATGATAATTCATAACGAACAATTGTTAAAAACATAATAACTAATAACATACGACCAGCTAATTGCATATAATTTTTTGGTGCATTATTATGCATTGTTGGTACACCAGCAAATAAACTACGAGCTTCTTTTCGATTTTCTACCATTAATAATATTAAACCACCAATTAATGAACAGGATCTACGGAAAAAAACAAATATGAAGTTTGTTTTTTTTTCGTAATAGAGTTTTGTTTTTATTTTTAGCATATAAATTTCTTTTTTTAGCAATCATTTTTCGGATGTGTTTTTTTTATATTCGATTCTCACTTTAATATATAATGAGAATTCCATAAAATTCGATAACCAATTGACTGAAAAAAGAAAATTATTTAATAATAAAATTTCTTACCTAAGTAAGAATCGAAGTTCCCAAATAATTTGATATGCAATTGACTATATAAGAAAAAAAACAATAACCTGTGAAATTTGTCAATTCAAATATACAATATTTCATTATTAAATTGACTATTCACAGAAATATGGTTTTCACCAGCAAATTATATTTTTCGAAAAGTCGAATAAAATGGAAAAATTCGATTCATCTGCAGAAACTAATATCTCGGTCCATTTGCTGATAGACCATTAAAATTATTAAAAGACGCTATTGATTATTTATCGAATCATGATGCGAAGTAATCATACATGATCAGATCTCTATGACCGAAACAAAAACTGAAGGTTTTGATGAAATTTTCACAATTTTTTTCGTACCAAAAATTTGCGACTTATTGATAAACTGTAATCATTTTTGGCAACATTAATGTTTAAGAAAGGATTCTCAAAGGCTTTATTAGTGTGGCCTTAACTAAATCCGAAAAATCGTAGTCATGCAAACGTCTAGTAGAATATTTTTTAAGAGTCGTAATGCTAGATTAACCCTTATCTGTAAATCTGATTCTTATAGTATTATCTACTACTAGATAACTTATTTAAAAAAAAAAAGTCTTTTTGATTGAAGTTAGAGAGAATAAAATCAACAGGATTTTTTTCTTAAATAGAAAAAACGCATTTAGCTGTCATGATTTCCTTGATAAAAAAATCTGACCGATCTAAAACAATAATCTATAACAAAGTAATTTGTTTTCTCTGTTAAACATTAACCAGTGCCCCATAAGGAATAGGACAATAGTACAAACACAATTGAGAGATTTTGTTCTTAACTTATTCGATGGAAAATTTTTCGTTCTACGAAACTGTGCATTTCATTTGACAGTTGTATACAGCATCGATATTAAATCATATTTTGTTATAAAGATTTTTGTGCCAAATGAGAATCTTTTTTGCTTTTATGCATTCGTTAGTTTCGAAGTAATACGTTTTACATATGATTTGAAACTCAAATCATTTTTTGTTTGATTTCGACTTTTACTTGTTGTCAAATGTATTGAAACTAAATATTTTGATCAATCTGTCGACCACTTAAAATCCTTGTTTTTGTAAAAGAAGGAAATATCTTAATCGATTTTGCGAAGCGAAAAATTCTCTATCGAATGAGCTAAGAACGAAGTTTTTGAACTATATTTGCATGACTCAAAAAAAAAAAAGTTCAATTTATTATAAATCTAATTAAATATTCTCTCTAGATTTATAAAAAATAAAAACTTACTTGAAAACAAATAATAAAAACTAATATTCCACAAGCTATATCAGTTTTTTTTCTTGCTAAAATCATTGCACATGGTATAAGTTGACCAAATAAATTAATAATAACAAAAAGTGTTCCAATAAACCATCCAACATTCCAACTTTTCATAATATATTCTCTTTGTTCACTCCATTGCATCCACATACGAATACCATCTTCAATAAATGTTGATACTAAACAAAATCTTGCTAAATGTGGTAATACATATTTAGTACGTTGAAGAAACTATTAATAAAGAAAATATATATATAGAAGTTTTAAAAAATTCTATGTACAATATCAGCATAATCTTCTGCTTGACTTAACCATTGTTGACGTTGTCTTGGTGTAACTAAATTCATTATAAATTAATAATAAAGATTTACTGTTTTTTTTTTGTTCTCTTTTTGTGTAACACTATGTTCTAAATGTATTCGAGTGTGTGTATTGCATATTTCTGCTAACGTGGTTCTACGCGTAAGCTTCTATTTATGATTGGTTAATAACTGACATGATTATCACTTGATGAAAACAAAAAATATTTTTTACAATAAAAGAAAATCTAAATCTTTTAAATAAATAGAAATGTTTTATGTAATATGATGAAAAAAAAATAATTCAAATTTATTGAAATCTTTTATGATAATTATTATCATGATAGAGGGCATTATATACTTAGCAATCCATAGTTTTCAATTCAATGATATGGAACGGGTAAAAAAGCGATAGAACGAAAGAAGAAAAACGAAATTTAAAAGCAAGCCTTTTGTTTTTTTGGTTTAATTGTTAATGTTATAAATTTTGTGAGAATGGTAATTTGGAAAATTTTCTTAATGTTATCAACAGTTTAAAGGTTTGAAAAATGCTGCTTTTACAATGGTGATGAGTTTAGAGGGAGTCACATTGGGGGCAATCACTACTTTCTTTTGAACTATTTTTGATTTTTATCAGCAACAATTACCTAAAAATGAGTCGATACGACTTCAACTTGAACTTCATAATATGTTTTGTGACTTGGATTGCCTTCCTTTCGGTTGAAATCCTAGATGATTGTATTTAACCAGAAGAACATGGTTTATATGCATAGATAATATTTAACAAAAACAAACGAGAAATTTTGTTCAATATCTATAATGATATTATAAGGAAAATTGAAGATTTTTCTAAGAATTAAATTTTAAATATTGATTAAATTGTAACATTGACGACAAAGTCATGCGTTTTGGATAGACGAAAGCCTATCATAGATTAAGCTTTCGTAGGGTAGACTCAAAACATTTGTTTCTCGCTCTATCAGATTGATAGATTTATGCCATGTATTGAAATTCGTTTACAAGCGATAAAAATATTTTTTGTCACCGCTTTCAGTTGTAACTAGTAACATTTTTGTGTCGAGTTCCTAAACTGTCAATAATTTGAACAAGTATTCTTTTGTTACAAGTGAAAAACTTAAATTAGATAAAAATCCACTGAAAGTTAATATAGTGAGCAAACGTACGATGTGATTCTTTTTTTTCCGTGAAAACAATTGCTTGATCATTATTCTGTTTTTTTTTCAGTATAGTAGATCAAAATTTCTTCTATCGAGAGTTGAAATGGAATACAAACAAATGTTGGTATGTTTCTTTAAGCACGAGTATTTTGATGCAGTGTTGCAAATTTTTTTCTGAATCACACCAATTTCATACAGTGTAAAATATGAATTGAAAATAAGAAGCACTAACCGTCTATTATCTTAATGGCATAAAAAGATTCGCTCTCTTCTGTATTCTTAACTGTCAGGTGAGAATCTTACGTACATTATTGACCTTACTCTAGATTCAAAATGTTTCACTGCCTATGAGGATAGATGTGAACATGAAATTATTCATTGATAATGAATAATAAAAACGATAGATTTGTCATTTTTTGATCTATAAAGTAGTATTGATTTTGCTGGCAGATATACCAAAAAAAATCCTACGACTCTTTTGAAATCTATGTTCAAAGTGAGATAGTAAAATATTTAAATATTTTCAATTGTAATTTTAATAAAAACATAAAGTGACTCATTTTAATGATATTGTCTCATTTGTAAAATCATGTTTACTCTGGTGATGGTTTATATTCTTGGAAATTAATCAACAAAATAATCATTTTTATAGGCCTACAAGAGGCCAAAACAAAACTCAAATCACAAGCTATACATTAGAACTGTCTATACAACATCTTTATGTATATAGTTATTGATGAACATAAAAATTGAAATTATTCAGCTGTTTATTTATGAGCTAATGCTTTCTCTCTTACTCCGATATATATAGAAATATTTTTGTAATTTAATTTTGTTATTTCATTAAAAAAACGTTTCAATTTAATTGTTTTCTATATATAATATAATTAGAAATGTATAATTCATTTCAGATATCTCAAATGGGCGACAATCGCTTCACATTTGCCGTGCAGCGTTTGCCAGCCGGTCCTTCTTATGCTGAATCATTTCAAGATCAACCATTGTATGAAGTTTTTTTTTTTATTGAATATTTTAAATATATTGTTTTTTTTTTGATCAGAAATCGTTCAAATTCTCGTATTGGTGGTCAAATAAAACGTATTGGACCAGATATAATTGAAGATTTATTACGTGGAAAAAAAAATCCTGTACAATGTCTTAATGAATATTGTTCTATGACAAAGAAAACTATTGTATATACAGAAACAGGTTCAGGATATCGTTATGCAAATTATGCAACTATTGATGATGTACAATTTCCTCAAGTAAAAACAAAACAATTAAGAATTTATTTATGATAAATATTTAATGGAAATTTTATTTGTATTGATAGGGTACAGGTAGAAGTAAAAAAGAAGCAAAAATTGCTGGTGCACGACGAGCATTTGCTGCTTTACTTGATCTTGATGAAGAAGCATTTGATACAAAATTTGCCGGTAAAAGTCATTCATTAGTAATATAACTTAATTTTCCTAGAGCTTATTTTTATATGTTGCATATATGTTAAATTACTTTAGATAACCTGAACAAATTAGCGTTAGTAAAATGACGAAGTATGAATGTACAAATGACAAAATTTTTGTTTCGGAACTTAATAGGATCTCTGGAAAATCAGTTTTTTTTGGAGTTCGAACGTTGTTGAAAACTTTACCATAAAGTCTATCCTGAAATTTTTTCTCGCATGACTAGAGAGATATTCACTAGTTATTTTTTAATTATTAGTCAATTGAATGAGCAAACATGTTTACTTTTGTCTTTATTGAAAAATAACCCTTGTAAAAAATCAAAGGTGTGCCCACTTCGTTTTACTTGGAATGAATTATATGAATCTCATTTTGTTTCATTAATATTGTTGTCTTTTTTTTGTCTAGGTATGTCTGATGTTAAAATTGATCGACATGGTCATAAAATTGTTGAAAATGGCTCAAATAATCCTGAACATCTTTATACATCAGCTAATGTCGAAGAATTAACACATAAATTAAATTTACTTGCAACGTAAAACCAAAAAAAAGAAGCTTTTCTTTTACAAAATAAAATTTTTTCTTTCTTCTCTTCATCTAGTGATCATGAACTTTTAAAATCTAAAGGTGTTGCACATGCATTACAACGTGTTAATACTGAGCGTGCATTATCACGTGCATCAACAATAAATAATTCATATCCTCTTGTTAATAATAACAATGATTTACCAATGACAAATTATGGCAGAGAATCAGTATTATCTGGACGACCACCATCATCAATAAATCAATATTTAACAAGTACACCAATAAGTAGTTTTGGTGGTACATCTGGTTTAACAACACAAATTGAAAATCCTATTACAAATTTACAAGAATATTGTAAAGCAAATATGTTACCTATTGATATTAAAACAGAAGTATGTGAACCTGATCCAAAAAATCCTGATCAAAGAAAATTGTAATCATATTGATTTTGTTTTTTTTTTCTTTTTTTTCTTCTTCTTATCATTATTATATTGAATTATTTATTATTTTTATATAGATATCGATCATGGGTTATTTTGGATAATGATGAAACAAAAATATCGGATGTTTATGCATATACAGCAATCGATGCAAGACGACGAGCATCACAACGAGCTTTAGAGGCACTTATGAAAAAACAACCATCACATGTAAATAAATTAATTTTATAGATATTATGAGATTTATATTATTGATTTATAGATTATTACAAGTAAACCAATGGTTGCATTAACTGAATATGAAGAAATTTCAAATACAGTAGCAGATTTTATAAAACATAATCGAGCAAATGATCATTCAGATATGTTTGATACAATTCATAATCGTTTTTATGCAGCTTTTGTTGTTAAACGAAGTAAATAATTTTATTTAATAATAGATTCAATTGTGTTCTTTTTTTTTTGTGTCGTATGTTTTAGCTCAACGTGATGTTGGTCGTGTTGTAGCATTTGGTATGGGTAGTCGATGTCCAGAACCAGAAAATGTTAGTGAAATGGGTGAATCATTACTTGATTGTCATGCATTAGCTCTTGCTCGACGAGCATTTATACAGTAAGTTTGTATTTTGTAGAAAATATTTTTAAACAGAATGATTTTACTTGAATGCTAAAAAAAATGTATTACTGTTGAAATCTAATTTAAAAAATTATATTCTTACTACAGTAAAAGTTCTCTAGTGTGGATATCATCGAGATTGGTCAGAAGTGTTCATTATTCAGAAGTTTTCAGTTTCTTTTTTTCAATAATTAATTAACTTAAATCTTTTAATTAGAGATAAAATAGCTCGTGTTGACATGATTAGATGTAACTAATTATTAATACGAAAATAATGAGATGTTACAAGAAGCTAGAATTCGGACGAAAGTATTTGTACTTGTACTTCATATTTTTACTGGTAATACGAGTAAATGTCTTTTCGAATATTTGACGTAGTTTTCTGAATATTTCACTATTGCCATCAACGAAAAATGTTCAATATACAAACAATTTACTTTTGGATAAGTCGGATGCTTCTTTAATTTTTTTTTAAAACAGGTTTTGTATCATAAATATATTGAATTTTTTCAAAATTATCCACTATTATTCTATTTCACATAACATTATTGTTTTCTCTCGACGGTTCAAAATAAGGAGGTACTCATTCCTAGCAAAACTCCCTTCGAAGGATTATAGACTTGCTAATATAAAGAGGTACTTATTATAAAGAAGTTTTTTTTTTCTATAGGTATCTCTATGGTGAATTGATTAATTATGCAAATGGTAGTGCAATTCGATCAATATTAGAAACCAGTGAAAAAGACTCAACTAAAACTCAATTAAAGAATCATGTTTCTATTCATTTACTTATTTCTGGAGCACCTACTGGTGATGGACGAGA